CTCGCTACTTCCTGGCATTAGGCTCCCCCTGGCACTTTTATTCCAACCATAAAAAGGCTATTTCATTGAGGAATAAAGTCCAATCTCCCTGACGTGTAACTCCTTTCAGAGCTCTTACTCGACTGCTGGGCAAAATTTATGCTTCCTGGATGCACCCTCCTTGGATGGCAGCTGGAAGTTGGGGAGAGTGAACCGGAAGGGGGCATCCTTTCTGGCCGCTGGAAGTGTGTTTATTGCCTTATTCCAGGGATATTTTTGCCTGGTCCAAGGAGCTGGTGAAACCCAAGGTGTCCAAGAAAGAGCCCGCTCTGTGGAGGCAGGATGCCAGGTTTTGAGCCCTGGTGCTGTCACCTACTGGTTGTGTGGCCTTGGGCAGGGCCTGAGCCTCAGTTCCCTCATCTGCAAAATGGAAAGAACAATTTCTTCCTCAGAGGGTTGGTGCTGCGGCAACGAGCAGACGGAAGTGGCAAGTACTTGGAAGCTGTGTGACTGGTGTTCCTATTGTTAGGGAGACAGTAAAAGAAATCTTCTGATTTAGAGGGTTCTCTGCCACAGATTCTCTGAGACAGTCACTCCCAACTTAGGCAGTGGTGTTCAGAATCCTCTGGAGGGCTTAGAATGCATGCTGCTGGGCCCCTGAGTTTCTGGATCTGTAGGTCTGGAGAGGGGGCCAAGAATTTGCTTTTCTGACAAGTTCCCAGGGCATGCTGGGGCTGCTGGTCCAGGAACTCCTCTTTGAGAACCGCTGTTCCCAGGGCTTTGAGACCCGAGATGTGGCTCAGCCTGGTTCTTGGGAGAGGAAGAGGTCACCTGGGGAGCATGGTGGGTTCTGGTGTCTACGTGAGAGCAAGCTGCATGTCCATTTTGTCATCCCGCCTGACCTCAGCCCCGGCGCCTGGATCTGTGAGCAGCAGAGGTATGGGGTGGGGGCCTGGGCTGAGCTATGGATGATGCATCCTCGGGAGAGAGGGGTTCTCCTGAGCCTCGTTAGAGACTCTCAACTTCACATCTTCTAGGGATGACCCCGCACTATTCCACATCCGAGGGAGCCAGGCCGTTCGCTCCTGTTTTCAGTCTGATGCTCAAATGAAGGCGCAGGGAGTAAACATAGATCTGCTCAAGGTCATGCTGCTCGGTGCAGGGCTGGGGGGAGGCAGATCTGCTCTCCCAACACCGGGGAAAAAGCTCTCCCCAACCATGGCCACGCCGTTTCTCAGGCTATGCGGCAATCTGGAGGATTACTACGTTGATAACTACAATTTCAGTCTCAGTAGCATTCAAATACCCAGCAGAGACTCACAGCCGAGGCTGAAGGGGTGTGTTGTGATGGAAAGTCAACTGTGGGAAGTGTGAAAGCTCTGGGAATTCAGGACCTTGTGGGGTAGTGAACCTGGACATGGCAGGGCACACACGCGCCTCTGTCCTCAGGAGGAAAACCCTAGACACTGGACCCGTGTTGGCTGCTCCTGTAACAGGAGAGAAGTCCAGCCCAGCCCTGGACTTTGTGCAGAGTCTCAGGGGGGAGGCGCTGACCCTGAGGAGAAGAGCCACTCCCTGCCAGGATTTTGCTGATCTCAGATGCATCAGCCACAACAGCCACAAATGCCCGCGAGACCTCGAGGGTCTCAACAGGAAAATTAGGCGTCCCCAAGGCAGAGACAGCACCGCATGCTCTGGGGCCAGCCACCCCAGCCAACCCAGAGCCCTGATCCCAGAGCCAGCCTGGCCCGTCTGGGGAGAGAACGGGTGCCCTCCCAAGAGTCCCCGCACGCCCTCGTTAAACACGACGCCCCGCTTTCCAGTGGGTGCGGAGCGAGGTAGGGGAGGAAGAGAAGTAAAGTGGTTTGTTCCAGCCGCTGAGCTGGGAAAAGTGCCCAGAACAGTTAATGCCCAGACCCTCTCAGCCTTGCAATCGCCGCCCGCCTGGGGGGTGAAGAGCCATTTATGCCAGGTAAAGGCTGGTGATTTCATTAACTCCATTCCCCTTGTCTCGTCTCCAAGGGCGCAGGGTGGTTAAACACAGGAGGACTTGGTAAAGGGTCAGCTCTGGTTTACAGGACTGCCTTGGGGGGGTGTGCCCCCCGTCTATGGTGTCCCAAAGCCGGGTGGCTCTGCAGGGAGGGAGGAGGGAAGGGGAGGATGGAGGAAGAGAGAGATGAAGACTGGTTCCTGGCAGAAACCCCACGGCAGTGTTAAAATAAAGGACGCATCAGGCCAGGCACAGTGGCTCGCGCCTGTAATCTCAGCACTATGGGAGGCCAAGGTGGGCGAGTTGCTTGAGCCCAGGAGTTCAAGCAACACAGCAAAACTCCATCTCTACACAAAATCAAAAAGTTAGCCGGACATGGTGGCATGCACCTGTAGCCCCCAGCTACTTGGGAGGCTGAGGTGGAAGGATCACCTGAGCCCAGGAGGTCGAGGTTGCCATGAGCCGTGATCATGCCACTGCATTGCAGCCTGGGTGACAGAGTGAGAACCCAACTCAAAAAACAAACAAACAAAAAAAAACTCCACCAGGCAGCTGCCTCTGGACATAGGAGTGGGTGTGGCACCAGCCTTCATGGAGGAGACCCTTGGAGGCACCATTCCTTCCGGGGGCGGCTCCTGTCCTCCTGGCCTCAGCTTTCCAGACAGCTTTTCAAGCATCAATCCAAGTCGCTCCTCTGCCTGAAGGCCCCTGTTGAACCATCCATGGGGCCAGAAGAAAGCCAAAGCCTGAGCTCCTGACGGGGCCTTCGAGCCCTCCAGCCCTCCACACCCTCACACTCCAGCTTTGGCAGCCTCCTCTCCGTACCCCCAGCCCTCCTCAGGGACCTCACTTTCAGTCCTTCTGCCTGAATTCCCTCCCCAGCTCCTTCCGGAGTTGCCTCCTGACCTCTCCGGAGGCCGCCTGACCTTCCCACCCATAGCAGCTCATAGCCCCCCCCCCACCAAGTTGCTTGTTGATTCTCCTCAAAGCACACAGCTTCGTCTGAAATTGTCTCATGTGTTTATTTTCGGTCTCCAAGCCCCTCTCACACACACGCTAGAACTTTCCCTCCTGCTCCAGGGACTTTCTCTGCCCAGTTCACAGCTGCCTCCCAGAGCTGGAACAGCACCTGGCCCAGGGGAGGCTCTCCATGAACATTCATTGAGGGACGAGGTCTCAGACATGCCCCTGGGGAGGCGTCTGGGGGTCTGGGGAGCCGCCCACAGGAGCCCACAGCACCAGCCCTGGGCTCTAACCACCGGCCGCCAATCTCTGAAGACCTGTCTGCCCGGGGCCATGGGCTCCCGCGAGCTGCCGCAGCCCTGGCGTCCAGGACAGTGGCCAGAGTCTCGGCCCCCCCCCCCGCTGGCCTCCCTCTAGGTGTCAGGCTTGGCCCAGGGTGGGGGCCGCCGTCCCGGGCAGTGGCTGCCCGCAGGGGAACTGCCCGGCCGGGCGGTGGGGGCTGGCCTTGGAGTCACGGCTCTGATTCAAGAAGGGAAATCATCTGAGCTTTTAAAAAATTAAATGGAGTCAGTAATTTGATTTCAGAGAGAAGCTGAAAACCTCGTAATGGCAGGAGCAGCTCAATTCCGTGGTGAAAAGGAAAAGCCTTAAATGGGGCTATTAAGCTTTTGCCTGGGATGGATCTGCCCGGGGAAGGAGGAAGGGGGGAGGCGGACAGGGGGGAGAAGTCGTCTTCGAGGTGGGGACCGTTTATCAGCCAAGACAACCCTGATTATTTATTTATTTATTTATCTGGGCGGGCGTTGCCGGAGACTGCCTCCTCTCCTTGGCTGTGGTTCAAATTCAAATCCCACTTCCAGTGATGGGTCTGCCTGGAGGGGGCGGGGTGGGGGGGGATGGGGAAGTGCCACCTTTCCAGGGAAGCACGGAGCGCCCTTCCTGCCCAGACCACTGCCCCCAGCCAGCCACAGCAGGGATTCTGGGCCAGGGTCGCTGGAGGTCACTGGGGCTGTCCAAGCAGGCAGGGTACCAGCTGCTGCCATGGAAACCAGAGGAAAGGCACGGTCAGCCACGCAAACAAAGCAGTGATTCCTCATCCTCCTCACCCAGGGTCCTTTGCAGACTTGGGTCTCGGCCCCCTGAGGCTCGGGTGTGGGATCACACACCTGGGAATCGAAGCTCACCACCACCAGTTCCCAGAGATGTCTGAATATGACTGAAGGCCGCCCAGGTTCTTCTGGGACCAGCAAACATCCCTTTGGCCTGGGCCTGGGGGCCGGCAACAGGCCGCTATGATCTGACCGTGAGAACAGCTCGCAGACGCTGAGCGCACTGGGGGCCAGCCTCCGTGCTAAAAGCTTCTCATCCCTCTCCTCCCCGGCCTTCAAAAGCCTCACTGGGGAGGAGCTATTATCATCCCCCTGTGACTGTCTGGGAAACTGAGGAGAAGCTGGGACTCGAACCCCGGCTCCTAGTGGGCCTGGCTGCGGCACCTACACCACCCCCAACCCCTCACATACTCACACACACACACACCCTGCCTCACCACCTTTGACAGTGAGCCTGGAAATGCAGCTGGGCGGGCCAGGAAAGATCCAGGGACACTCAACAACCCTTCCCGTGGGGAGGAACAGACAGGTAGGAGTTGTGCCCAGACATTGTCCACCCTCCTTTTTCTTTTTCTTTTTCTTTTTTTTTTGAGTTGGAGTCTCACTCTGTCGCCCAGATTGGAGTGCAGTGGTCGCTCCCGGCCACTGCAGCCTCGCCCTGCTGGACTCCGGCAATCCTTCAGCCTCAGCCTTCCAAGTGGCCGAAACTACAGGCGCGCGCTACCATGCCCAGATGATTTTTGATTTATTGTAGAGATGAGGTCTCGCCAAGTTGCCCAGGCAGGTCTTGAACCCGCGGACTCAGGAAATCCACTCACCTCAGCCTCCCAAGGCGCAGGATTACAGGCTGAGCCACGGGCCCGGCTTACCCCCCTTTTTCACACTCTGCCTCTCCTACCCGGGGGGTGCTCCAAGGACTCACCTCCAGAGTCTCCAGGGAGGCCCAGCATGGGAGCTTCTCAGAAGGCTCCTCTATGATGTTCTGAAAGCTCAGGTGGCCTGTGGCTTTCAAAGCTTGTGGCCAACGTGGGCTCTGTCAGTTCCTCCTTGGACAAGGCTCCCTGGCCAGCAGGGAGAGGATGTCGAACCTTGGCCTGGCTGGGCGACAAAGTTTCTGCCAGAGCCCACAGGCTCGGCGTTTGTGCAGATGGAGGTCTGGGTGTGCGTGCCCCTGCTTCTTCCTGGCCCACCCACTGGCTGAGGGAACTCCAGGTCTCGGCTCCATTTGACTCTCCCACAGTTGAGGATTCAGGGTTCGGATTCCCTGTCAGGCCACTGGATCCTGCTGTCAGCGACTCCACAGTAAGAGCTGCCAGGGGCACTGCGAGCCCCACCCCGGGCCGCTCGGGGGGCTTAGGTCCTGAGGTCCCTGCACTGGCACTGGGGTCTGGCTGTTTCACCCTTGGGATGGTGGATGTGGCATCCCTCCCCAGCAGGGCAGGGAGCCCCAGCCCCTTCGTGTCCTGACTTGGTTCTGAGGATGACAGGCCTAGGTGCCTCCTGGCCTCGCCAGAGAGACCAGGCTCACTCCGGGGGATTCCTTCCACCTCCATCGTAGAGGATGTGTCCTGAGGTTCTATTGGGGAATGATGGGAAACCAACGCCCCTTCAGTCAGGCTGGGCCTCGAGGGCCTTGTCCACGGTTGGAACTTCTCATGGACTTCATCAGTTTCCCCCTCGATGGGCTCAGCTGGCGCCCCGTCACCCCCTGACCACCCTCTCGGCAGGAGGGGACTTCCTGGTGGCTGGGTGGGGTCCTGCTCAGCCCTTCCAGTGCCTAGACCTTCAGTTAGGGTGACAGATGGTCCTGAGACTGGGAGCACCTGGGACTGTACAGACCTCCAGGAAGGCAGCAGGGGAGAGGACACGTCTGAGGACAAATGCATGGTCGGAGCAGGGGGCGCGGGGAAGACTGGTCGTGGGGGCCTGGGGCCAGCGTGGATGCCTCCTGTGGACCCTGAGGAGATCGTGGCTGAAGGCAGGGGGTGTCCAGGTAGCCCCACTTTCCCTGGGGGAACTTGGGGACTATGCCAGTCCTGCATTGCTCTGGGGACAGAGGAGGCAGCAGACATCCAGCTTCTTCCTACAGGTTTGGCTGTTGGCAGGGATGGTCCAAGCCCCTTCTTCAGCAAGAGAGCAGCAGAGAGAGAAAAAGCATCAGAAACAAGAGCACATGGTCACTGGCTGCCCTGAGGATCTCAGCTGGAAAAGGTCCGTAGGAGCCTCGACCTCAGACTAGGTCTCCGGGCCTGGCCCAGGGCTCCTGCCACGAGTCCTCTGGGGTGTGCCTTGGTTTCCTTTCCTCCATTTGTGGGAGACGCTGACCCCATCCCACCCCCTTTTGCTGTGTCTCAAGGCCCTGGGAGGCTGCTGTAATCCAGGCAGACAGAGGAGGGGGCGCGGCCCTCTGGGAGGGAATCTCGGGCCAGGCTTTCTCTGGATTTGAGGAGATGATGTGGTCGGGGAATCAGAGTGGGGCTGACATGTCTGGCTGGGTCTACCGATGCCTCATGGGGACCTGACTCTTTGCAGGAAACCAAATCGTGGGCAGAGGACATAGCCACAGACTTGCCTTGGCCAGCTCATCAGAAGGCCAGCGCACGAGGCCCCAGGAAAGCCTTTCCTGGGCAGCTGGTCCTACAGCTTGGAACTGGGGTGAGGCAGCAGATGGCGTTCCTGCTGGAGGGGTCTCTGTTCCTGAGGATGGGTGGGAGGGAGTGGTCTTCGGGGTGGCAGTTGAGGCAGATGACTCTGTTCCTGAACCTTCCAGAAAAGAGGCAGCGGTCACCTCCCTCCTAAGGAAGCCAAATTCTCCCAACACCCCGCTGTGTGAACCATAAGGGTCCCCTTTCCTACAGGCGGGGAAGTGAAAGCCTGGGGGACTCATATCCGAGCACTGAGGTAAGAATTGTCTTTATTGGCCGGGCTCGGTGGCTCAGCCTGTAATCCCGCGCCTTTGGGAGGCCCAGGTGAGTGGATTGCCTGAGCCCGCGGGTTTAGACCCGCTTGGGCAACTTGGCGAGACCTCATCTCTACAATAAATCAAAAATTAGCCAGGCGTGGTAGCGCACGCCTGTAGTTCCAGCTACTTGGAAGGCTGAGACGGAAGGATCGCCGGAGCCCAGCAGGGCGAGGTTGCGGTGGCCGGGAGCGGCCACTGCACTCCAGTCTGGGTGACAGAGTGAGACTCCAACTAAAAAAATAAAAAATAAAAAATAATTTTAAATAATTTAAAAAAAAGAATTGTCTGCAGCCGGGCTCGGTGGCTTAGCCTGTAATCCCAGTGCTTTGGGAGGCTGAGGTGAGTGGATTGCTTGAGCCGGCGGGGTTGAGACCCGCCTGGGCAACTTGGCGAGACCTCATCTCTACAATAAATCAAAAAATCAGCCAGGCATGGTAGCACGCGCCTGTAGTTCCAGCTACTTGGAAGGCTGAGGCGGAAGGATCACCGGAGCCCAGCAGGTCCAGTCTGGGTGACGGAGTGAGACTCCAACTCAAAAAAAAGAATTGTCTTTATTGGCTGTACTTCACAAACCTCTGACCTGGTGTCCTCTTTGAGACTATGTGGACATCAACATACATCTGTTTTTTGGGGGTCTTTTTGAGCCAGAGTCTCACTCTGTCACCCAGGCTAGAGTGCAGTGACACACTCCCAGCCACTGCAACCTCGACCTGCTGGGGTCAGGAGATCCTTCCACCTCAGCCTTCCAAGTAGCTGGAACCATAGGCATGTGCCACCACACCCAGCTAATTTTTTTATTTATTGTAGAGACAAGGCCTTGCCAAGCTGCCCAGGCTGGTCTCGAACCTGTGGGCTCAGGTAGTCCTCTCGCCTCTGCCTCCCAAAGTGCTGGGATTACAGGCGTGAACCACCGCACCCAGCTAAGATACATCTTTTAAATCATATTGCAGAAATTCAGATTTTCCGCAAGGGGCACTTGTCCCCAACTCCCTGCCCCCGTTTAAATGCCACCAACCGGTTTTATCTTTGTGCCCTTTCCTATTCGAAGGTCACATACATCAGCCTAGCCCCCAGGAACCACACAGAACCGGGGTGCCCTCCCTGCCCAGCCACCCCTCCGGTTAGACTCTACCCAGGCACCTTGACATCCTGGGCCAACCATGCTTGGCTGTGTGTGGAAGAGCTGTCCTATGCATTATAGAATGTTTAGCTGCATCCCTGGCCTCTACCCACCAGATGCCCATAGCATACCCAAGTCACAACAGCCAAAGATGTCTCCAGACGTTGCTAAGTGTCCCCTGAGAGGCAAAAATTGCCCCCAGTGGAGAAATGCTGGGTCAGAGCTTGCAAATTCTTCTCTGTGGGTCAAAAGCGGCCCTTAGGCATGTTTGACTTGGCCTGCAGGGTGTTTTAAATATTTTTTAAATTAACCCACAGCATCTTACAAGCAGGAGTTTTTTTGTTGTTGTTTTTTTATTTTTTTAGTTGGAGTCTCACTCTGTCGCCCAGACTGGAGTGCAGTGGCCACTCCCGGCCACCGCAGTCTCGACCTTCTGGGCTCCGGCGATCCTTCCGCCTCAGCCTTCCAAGTAGCCGGAATTACAGGCATGCGCTACCACACCCGGCTGATTTTTTCCCCCAGCCCAGGCGGGTCTCGAACCCGTGGGCTCAGGCAATCCACTCACCTCAGCCTCCCAAGGCGTGGGATTACAGGTTGAGCCACCGAGCCTGGCTACAAGCAGGAGTTTTATACAACCCGCTTCTCATAGAAAGTCAGATTTGGCCGCCCTGGCTGGCCTCCCTACAAGGCAAGATCATTCCAGCCAAATAAGGCTGTCCTGTTTAGAGTCACTGAGGGCTACAGGCTCTCCACAGTCTCCACCACACCCTATTGCCTCCTTCCCTGACCCTTGTTTCTCTGGCCTCCTAGACTCCAGCCCTGGGTGTTCTTATCCTCCCTCATTGACCTTTCCCGCCTGACCCCAAGGGGCATGTCCATCAGTGACCCCTGCTCTAAAATGTGAAAACAGCTAGATCTAAACCCTCTGGGCTAGGCATGGTGGCTCATGCCTGCAATCCCAGCACTTTGGGGGCAGAGATGAGAGGATTGCCTGAGCCCAGGGTTTGAGACCAGCTTGGGCAACTTGGTGAGACCTCATCTCCACAATGCATCCAAAAATTAACCAGGTGTGGTGGCAAGCACCTGTAGTTCCAGCTACTTGGAAGGCTGAGGTGGAAGGATTGCCTGAGCCCAGCGGGTCGAGGCTGTGGTAGCCATGACTGTGCCATTGCACTTCAGCTTAGGCAGCAGAGTGAGACTCCGACTCAAAATAAAATGAAACGAAATAAACCGCCCTCTGGGTTTCTGGCCTCCAGACTGGATACTTCATTTCTCCCACTGTTTTTAATAGCTACAATCTGAAATTATCAGGATTTGTCCTATAGATTCCAACTAATTTGGGAGGGGGGAGATAAATGATTAAAAAAAAAACTGTAACCACAGAGAGTTTAAGGCAATCCACTGCATTAATATTCTAGCACATTCGTCACATATTTACCAAAGAAAAATGTTCTCTAAGACCTTTTTTAAAAATTCCTAGTGAAAAATTCAGTCCCACAAGCATTTCTTAAGTGCTTACCAAGGGCAAGGAGGCACGATAAGGCCCCTTAAAGGATAAAAAAACTGAACAGGGCACAGCCCCTGATCTCAGGGAATTCAGACTGGAGAGAGACGGGAGCAAATGCCAGTAACTAGAATAAGTATAGAAAGAGCTGGAAGCAGCAGGAGAGGTTCAGGGAAGGTGCGCGGGGACCCAGGGAGGGGAGACATTGGTTCTGCTGCTGATACTAAATTAATAAGATGAAGACGAGAACATTCTTTCCCCGTGTAAATCTTTCCAGGGAGGCCAAAAATTTCTTTCTAAAATGCATTTATTGCTGTTGCCGGGTTATTTTTGTATTTAATTCACTATCTCCCTATCAGCGACCTACCCTCTCTTCGAAGCCCAGGACAAAGGTCACCTACTCTCTGACGTCTCCCCCAAGCCCACTTGCCCTCCTTATAATTCTCTGGACAATTTTTGTCTTCCCTGCCAGACTGGGTGCTGCTTGAGAGCAAGACCTGAATCTGGCGGCCTCCATTCCCACCCGGGTCTCCCCTGGGACCTCACCCACGGCGAGTGTTTGGTGGATATTTGTTGCATAAAGTTCTAGCCCTCCCTTTCCAAACTCCATGTCATCGCTGCAGGAAGCTGTTAAAATCAAAACAGCCGAAATGTGTAAAAACTTTCAAGAAACATTTCCATTTTTAGCAGACTGTTAGAACTCACCCCCCATCCCGCCTTTTTCTTTGTTTCTAATTCTGAATTCGGGGCTAGATGTGGTAGGCAGTCCCCCTTTTAATCTTTAAATATAGTTCTGAATATAATTACATTTTTATGCAGCACCGAAACATCATATCCTGGTAACGGGGCATTCTTGTGCTATTAACATCTGAGTTAAATCTCCTTCGCGTCTGTCTTCTATTGAGGACAGTTAGGAAGTATAAGATGAAAGTGATCGACATCATTTGTGAATTATGTGTATTTCCTTATGCTGTATTTCAATGGGTTTTGCTCCTGGTGGTTTTGCATGTGTGAATACCAGGTCGCCTGGTAGCTGTTCTTCCATCGAAGACTCCTTTCAAGACACAATCCCAGCATCCTGGCACGGGGACACACACCACGTCTAGAAGAAGGTTCCTCTCAGGATAAAAAAGAAGTTAAACTAGGCTGGGTTCAGTGACTAATGCCTGTAATCTCAGCACTTTGTTTTTTTGTTTTGTTTTTGTTTTTTGAGTTGGAGTCTCACTCTATCACCCAGACTGGAGTGCAGTGGCCGCTCCCAGCCACCGCAGCCTTGACCTGCTGGGCTCTGGCGATCCTTCCGCCTCAGCCTTCCAAGTAGCTGGAACTACAGGTGCTCGCACACCTGGTTAATTTTTGGATGCATTGTGGAGACGAGGTTTCACCAAGTTGCCCCAGTGGTCTCTAACCCATAGGCTCAGGCAATCCACCAGCCTCGGTCTCCCAAAGTGTTGGGATTACAGGCTGAGCCACCGAGCCCAGCCAATCCCAGCACTTTGGGAGGTCAAGGCAAGAGGATTGCCTGAGTCCAGGAGTTCAAGATCTGCCTGGGAAACATGGAAAGACCTCATCTCTACAATTAATCCAAAAAATCAGCTGGGTGTAGTGGCACACACCTGCAGTTCCAGCAATTTGGAAGGCTGAGGTAGACGGATCACTTGAGCCCAGAAGACCAAGGCTGCAGTGACCGTGATTGTGCCACTGCACTCTAGCCTGGGTGACAAAGTGAGACCCAAAAATCAAACTCAAAAAAAAAAGAAGAAAGAAAGAAAAAAGTTACACCAGGAGGATACAATGGCTCACACCTGTAATACCAGCACTTTGGAAGGTCAAGGCGAGAGGAGTGCTTGAGCCCAGGAGTTCAAGACCAGCCTGGGCAACATAGCAAGACCTTGTCTCTACAAAAAAATTTTAAAACTTAACAGGACATGGTGGTACACGCCTGTGGTCCCAACTACTCAGGAGGCTGAGGCAGAAGGATCACCCGAGCCCCGGAGTAGAGGCTTCAGTGAGCCATGATTGTGCCACTGTACCCTAATCTGGAAGACAGAGTGAGACTTTGACTCAAAAAGAAAAGAGAGGAAGAAAGGAAGAAAGTTGCATTATAAGAGCCTGACTTGCCTACCTGGTGTCCTGAGAAACTGGAGCCCACCCAGAGAGAGCTAGACAGATTAGCTCTCTGGAAATAACTCATCTTTGCCAGGAGCTTCCAAGCCTCTCATTCCATCATCTCATTCAATCCTTGCAACAAATACTGGTGTTTCCATTTTCCAGATGAAACCACGGAGGCCCAACAAGGTTAAGTAACCCACTGAGGTCCTGCAGCTGGCTATGACATGGTTGTGCCCCCCATATGGCCTCCTCCCTGGCAGTTTGACTCCAACACAAGGCACCACATCACCAGTTGGTTACTAAGACGATGTTGCTCTTGTATCATTTCCAGCCAGCTTGTTGATACCTTACCTGGTTGGGCATGGGGCCTCTTGGCCCCAAGGAGTGAAACACTGTCCCAGAAGAAAGAGCCACAGGGCCAGGGAAAGAAGGTTTGTGCGGTGTGTGCCTGTTGCCAGCAGGCACGTCCTCACGGTGCCTCACTCACCCACACACTGGAAGACATTCTCCACTGTCCAGAGGACTGGGGCAGCCATCTCGGTGAATTCCAGGCTCAGGTCTACCCTATAGAAAGCTTGTGTTCCTGGGGCTCCTCTGGCCTCCTGGCATCGCTGTGGGGCAATGAGGAATTAGCTGCACGTGGCAGGGTGCATCCCATGCCCTGTGGCCATCCTCCCAAGGGGCCATCTCAGTAAGAGGCTGGGGCCGGGCACAGTGACTCACGCCTATAATCCCAGTACTTTGGGAGGCTGAGGTGAGAGGATTGCCTGAGCCCATGGGTTCAAGACCAGCCTGGGCAACTTGGTGAGACCTTATCTCTATGATAAATTAAAAATTTAACCCAGTATGGTGGCGCATGCCTGTAGTTCCAGCTACTTGGAAGGCTGAGGCAGAAGGATTGTCTGAGCCCAGCAGGTCAAGGCTATGGTGGCCATAACGTGTGACTGCACTCCAGTCTGGGCAACAGAGTAAAACTCTAACTCAAAAAATAAAGAAGAGGCTGGGCCTCAGGCAGACGGGGCGAAGCCCATTCTCAGCCAGTCCTACAGAGCTGCTCTCCATGATTCTGACTCCACATGGCGTCCATGACCCAGAGAAGAAGGGACCTTTGGAAGGGAAGGGGCAGATCAGAGATGCCACCAGGACACTCACCTGGGCCTGGAGCACCCCAGCCGCTGGGATGCTGACCACCACAAGATCCCTGCTTTCAGTCACCGTGAAGGTGTTGGACTGGTGGACTCGGAGAAATTTTAGGCTCAGGGTGTCCTCAATTCGGGAACCTCTTTTGACCAGACCCAGCCTCTGTTTGGGGACGTGAACAAAGACCTCTGACTCGGGCTGGGATGACACTGGAATGGAAAGGACACAGGACAGAAAAAGACATGCTTGTAGGCTCATGGACAAAAGGGTGGTTGTGGGAACTTAGCCAGGGGTCACACCTGTGACCAGCACGGCACACTTCCTGAGTTGGTGACACAGATTAGTTGGTGCCCTGATATCACTGCCTAGGCAGGAACTTAGCTGCACAGATAAAGAAGAAAATTTAGAAAAGGTCACCCTCAAACACACGGTGACCCTGCCATTTGCAAAGGCCCACCAAGAAGCAGATCCAGCTGGAAAACTACAGAAATGTCGGAGACTGCCTTCAGCTTTGGTGACCCAGCCTGGTGCCCCATCCATCACCAAAGCTGCTCCTAAGAAATACAGCTCATATCAGTTGTTTACACTTTAGCAAGAATTTCATTGTGTCAGCCCTCTCGTGGGGGCATTTTAAGCCAGCTCTGCAGTTGCTAAATGAAAGCATCTGTCCCGTATAAAGCGATGTCAAACATCGTGACCAGGGAAAGAGATGCTTGGGGGCGTAGCAAGGTCATCCTCATGCCCCAGAATCCCCAGAGCCCTGATCCAAAACATAGCCCATGATAAAATTCTATAAAATGTAGAGTCTAAGTCATCACTAATCTACCCACATCGAAAAAGCTTTTGATCCACTTGACTCTGCATACCAAGTTCTTTGAATTTAAATTCCCTGGAGGTCGGAAGTGGTCGTCAGATTCCGGGCCTCCTTATATGACATAAGGCCCAGGCTAATGGTGTCACTCAGGCTGAACAAAATAGTTATCACACATATAGTCTAGACCAGGGGTCCCCGCCATCCTCACATCACAGAGCCCTGGAGGGTCTCACCAGGCTTCAGACCCCTCCCATTTCTGTTCTCAGACCCTCTGGAGCCATCTTGGAACTTCCCAGGAGTTCACGGACCCCCGGTGTGCAGTAATAACTGCTCTACATGCGCGCGTGTGTGCACACACACATCCCTTCCAGGAAGCACCAACTGCCCTTTGTCCCCAGCATTTCAGCAATGCAGAGAAAAGGGGAGGTGAGCAGGACCTGGGGGAATGGGTGTCCAGAGGAGGGGGAAAACAGAAAGGACTAGAGGGCCATGAAGTCGGGAAGGTTACATGGGGGCCACTCCTGGTCCTCACCTGGTGGGCAGGCGGCTTCTAAGGAGTAGGCATAGGGGCCGCTCACCAGCCAGAGGGTCAGGAGCTCGACCGAGGCGTTCAGCACCTATGGAGGCGGAAGGGCTGCCCTGAGGCCTCCGAACTGCTCCTTCCAGACACTAACTCCCTCCAAGTCCCCTTCCACCCTCAGGCTAGTCTCTGGTCTGACCCCCCAAGGGTTGCAGACACCAGGTCAGAGACCATTGCTCCGATGCCACCAGGAAATATTATTTAGCAGGGATATTTTTAGCCCGAAGCAAGCAAGCTCGGAGCAAATGTCATGTGAGCCGTCTTCTCTTACACGGCAACTTTGGGCTATTTAAAGAGATGGTAATTACGCCCCTGCCACCATGATCAGGACGAGCTGAATACATGATTGCAGGGGCCCCTCATCTGCCGAGTGGAGCACTTTACGCTAATGGGGCCCAATTTTCAAAGCCGCCTACCTAAATCTGTCCAGCCTCACAGGTGGACATTTGAATCGGCGCCAGAGGGGTGGCAAACTGCTCCCCCAGACACTGTGCCCCCGGGGACCCCCAGCCTGACAGGGCCTGTACCCACCACTGACCTCCTGCGTCTGAAGAAGCTCTTGTCTCGGGCTCTGGACGGTGACAGTGGTGCTGTTGATGTCCACATACAACCCTATCAGACTGGCATCTTCCAGAGAAGCCACCAGCTCCCCGCGAAGGGACAGCAGCCATGGAGTCTGGAGAGACAGGACAACTCGCGAACTGTCTGGCCAGGAAGACACGGTCACTGGGGCCAAGGAGAAGGGGCACTCCAGGGAACACTCAGGAAGGTGACAGGGCCATGGAAGAACGGGATGGGCCAGGAGACAGGAAGACAGGACGCTCAGAAGGAAGAAGACAAGTCAGATGCTAGCACCCTTACACTTGAGGAAACAGGCCTTTAAGGAATATTGACATACAGTCAGTGCACAGTGTGGCTGAAGGAATGAACGTACGGCTTCCCCTAACAGCAGATGCCAACCAGTCAGCCCAGGTGCCGCCTGGGCCAGGCACAACTGGAGTCCTGTCCTTGGTTCCACCTGCCACCCATTAGTGAAACACTGGCCATCAGGGCCTTGAATAAAGGTGGGTGTCAGATGGTGGGAGGGGGCAGGGAGGGGTCCCCAACCCTCTTCCTAGGAGGATGGGAGGGGGGCAGGCTCACTGACCCCAAACATTTTTTTTTGTTGTTGAGTTGGAGTCTCACTCTATCGCCCAGACTGGAGTGCAGGGGCCGCTCCCGGCCGCCGCAGCCTCGACCTGCTGGGCTCCGGCGATCCTTCCGCCTCAGCCTTCCAAGGAGCCGGAATTACAGGCATGCGCTACCACGCCCGGCTGATTTTTGATTTATTGTAGAGATGAGGTCTCGCCAAGTTGCCCGGGCGGGTCTCAAACCCGCGGGCTCAGGCAATCCACTCACCTCAGCCTCCCAAAGGCGCTGGATTACAGGCTGAGCCACCGAGCCCGGCTGACCTCAAGCATTAAAGGGGTGCGAAATGGAGAAACAGGACTGAGACTGTGGGAAACACTCAGGACCAGGAACATTCGGGAAACAGCTGTGCAAAAAGGGACCAGGTGGTCTTGCAAAGGAAGAAGCTCCCATCACTGGAGACTCAGCGTGGAAGGACTCGGAGGCTTCCGACCCAGCTTTCCACCCATAGCCAGGGTCCTCTCTTCAGGGTTACTCTCAGTGACCTCAGACCTCTGTCTGGAGGGCACTGGGGGGGGGGGCTTCGAGCCTCAGCTGTCAAGAGCTGGTTCCCGAAATGTTGGCGCTGTCCACCAACACACTCTACAGGAGGACAGGAAACTCAAACTTCCTGCCTCAGGGCTCCCAGCACCCACCAGGCCTGGCACAAGTGTCTGGAGACTTTCTCCCGTCCTACCTACCTGTCCACTGTCGCTCCCCAGGGGCAGGGGCCGGGAGACCTGTGGAAAAAGAGGAAGGGATGCTTCCTGCAAGCGGCAGCCAAGAGTGAGGGAGCAAGCATCTGTGTCCGATGAAGAGAAGCCCCCTGTCATGACCCCTCGGCAGGAGGCCACAAAAGAGTGGGTCCGGGTTGTTTTCTCAATAAGACAAAAAAACCACTCGAGGAAATGTCACCACCTCAGCTGTTTCCCTGGGCCCATACGAGGCCAAGAGTGGGTATGCATGGTGCCAGCCCTGTTCAGAGCCCACTTTCTGTCGGGCCTTTTTTTTTAAGAGGCAGTGTATCACTCTGTCACCCAGGCTGGAGTGCAGTGGTACGATCAGAGCTCACTATAACCTCCAATTCCTGGGCTCAAGCGATCCTCCCATTTCAGCCTCCCAAGGAGCTGGGACTACAGGCATGTGCCACTATTCCTGGCTAAGCTTTTAAATTTTCTGTAGAGACGAATCTTGCATTGTTGCCCAGGCTGTTCTTGAACTCCTAGGCTCAAGCGATCCTCCCACTCCAGCCTCCCAAAGTGCTGGGATTATAGGTGAGAGCCACCTCGCCTGGCTCAGGGCATCTGGCTTGTTTCTCTCCCTATTCAGTCATTTCTTCCTTGCCTGTCTTCTTTCCATGTCAGATCCAACAAGCAAGGGCAGTGAGAGTGCTTCCATGGGCCCAGAGAGTGTGCTTCTGCTCGCCAGCAGCGCCCTACCTAGGGTGGCCAGCCATGCTGGTTTCCCCAGGAGTGGAACTGCTCTCCCAGTGTGGGACTTCCAGTGCTAAAACCAAGACAGTCCCAGGCAAACTGGGACAGCTTTTCCCTGTGCCACGCCTGAGCCTCGCAGCCACCGGTCGGGGAACACCATTCTCCCATTTCACAGAGGGGGAGCAGAGGGGATGGCGTGGGCGGGGGCCTTCCCTGGAGCCCCTGGTGCAACCAGTGCCACCTCCACCCAGCTGTTCTCTGGAGTCTTTCTACTTTCTCCAACCACCCCGACTCCCCTTTGCCTTTCGTCAGACCTGAGCAGGGAGGTCAGAGCACAGGGAGGAGTCACAAACCCCAGAGGATTCCTCAGTCATGTAATCCCCTCCCTGCCGTGCTGTGCAAAGTGTGGAGACTGAGACCAGGGACAGAGAGGGACTCCTAGAAGCAGAAAATAGTGGGTGGGGGCGGGCACCCAGGCTTCTCAGTTTCCCAGATCTGCCGCCCCTTGGCCCAGAAAGGGCCCTTGCGTGAGCAACAGGCTCAGGATGGCCCACAGGGAGCCCCTTGGGGAGCCCGGCGATTTCCTTATCTTCAGAGGTGCTGCCTTCACTTGGGCAGTGAAGCGGAAGATGCCTGCGGTTTGGTGAGAGGATGAAGAGGGCTCAGCATTTCCTGGGCAACCACCCAAGCTCCCCACCGTGGTCACACCCCGGTCCCTCCACCGCAGCCTGGAGGAAGGAATGAAGCCCCTGAGGCCGGGCTTGGAGGAGGGAAACGATCCTGCCAAAAGAAGAACGGGACAAAGTGGTCCAGGGCACAGCCCAAACGCACAGTGCACGGTGCCCTTTAAGTCGCAGGAGGAGGCTATATTTAGGGCCCGCGGTCATTCCGCAGGAGCTCAGGCAACCTTCACCGGGAGCAATCGCTAATCACTGCATTGAGTTTACGGGTGCCCCTGGGCACACTTAACCCAGGGCAATGAATAGTTATTGCGCGGCCTCCCGCTCTGGGCCTGTGGGCACACTTAAGCGAGCTCACGATCGCTGTGAGCAGGGCACGGCTCGGGTACACCCTTGGGCACCCTGCGCCATCAGCGGGGAGAGGCAGAGTATTAAATATCTATGTGCCCTGTGCCCACAGCTGCGTTTAGCCAAGGGCAAGGCCAGGGAAACGGCTTTAATTAAAACTTAATGCAAGTTCAAGGTGCAGCCACGGAAGCGGCGGCGGCAGAAGTCACCAGGAATGAATCAGTCGATTCGACGAGGTTCTCAGATGAGGGGAGGGGCCGAGGGGAGGCGGGGGGCCGTGGAGACCGGCCTTCTGTCGCCCGTGTGTGCCCACCTCTGTGTGGCTCTGTTCGGGGATGTGAGGCCCCACCCACTCCCACACCTCAGTTGGTGAAGGATACCCAGGACCGGGGCGTCTGGGCTTCACAGGCAGGTCAGGGGAGGCAAGGCGGGCCCCAGGCGGGGAGTCGGTCCTGCTTTTCTCAGCCATTCGACCCAGCGCCGGGACATCGGCAAGACCGTCCCCCTGGTGGCAGCTCCCAGAATCACAGCCCCAGCACACAGGGAATGTCACACAGACGTGCTGGTGGCCATACCTGGGGACCCCGGGGCAGGCCCTGTGACTCATAGGAGCACCAACACGGGGCTTGGCGTGGCCACTCTGCACCCTTATAAAGGAGGTGGGCAGAGATGGCCACTCCCGCTCAGCCCCTGTTCCTCCAGTTTGGTAAACACAGTAATTTCAGGGCACAAGGGGCCAGGTTCACAGCCGGGACCATCTTGGGTTCTCTGAGCAGGGTGGGTCAGGGACATCTTCTGTCACAGCACTCATTTTAACACTCAGACCAGATGAGAATAAAGCTATAAGCTCTTCCTGGGGTAAGGGTCCGTGTCTTATCCAAATCTGTTCCCTCAGCTCTGGTACAGCACCTGACATACAATAGGTGTTCAACAAATGCTTGTTGAATGAATAGTGGTTGCCACGAGCAGCCTTTTCACAACCACCTCCTCCTCTCCTCTCTCTCCTTTTCTTCCTCCTCCTCTCCGGCAGGGGATACCTACCTGTATCCCTCAGGCCAAATTCGGCACTTTGAGCCAAAATTAAAATCAACTTTTTTTTTTTGAGTTGGAGTTGCACTCTGTTGCCCAAGCTGGAGTGCAGTGGCATGCTCATGACCACCCCAGTGTCGACCTGCTGGGCTCTGGCAATCCTTCGGCCTCAGCCCTCCAAGTAGCCGGAACTACAGGTGCATGCTACCACGCCCGGCTAACTTTTTTTTTTTTTAATTGTAGAGACGAGGTCTCACCAAGGTGCCAAGCTGGTCAAGAGCCTGCGGGTGCAGGCAATCCACTGGCCTCGGCCTCCCAAAGTGCTGGGATTACAGGTTGAGTCACCAAGCCTGGACAACTTTTTTTTTAAATGGAAAATGTCACAGATTTCCAGCTTTTCTTGAAAAGCTGAAAAATCTGACAAGACACGAGCTGGAGTGGAATGAAGTTGGCTTGAGGCCAGGAGTTCAAAACCAGCCTGAGCAATATAGCAAGACCCCATCTTTACAATAAATACCAACATTAAGCCGGGCTCAGTGGCTCAGCCTGTAATCCCGCGCTTTGGGAGGCTGAGGTGAGTGGATTACCTGAGCCCGCGGGTTTGAGACCCACCTCGGCAACTTGGCGAGACCTCATCTCTACAATAAATCAAAAATTAGCCAGGCGTGGTAGCACACACCTGTAGTTCTGGCTACTTAGAAGACTGAGGCAGAAGGATCGCCGGAGCTCAGCAGGTCAAGGCTGCGGTGGTTGGGAGCGTGCAACTGGACTCCAGTCTGGGTGACAGAGTGAGATTCCAACTAAAAAAACCCCCCAAAAAACCAACATTAGCTGAGTGTCATGGTGTGCACCTGAAGTCCCAGCTACATGGGAGGCTGAGGCAGGAGGATTTCTTGAACCCAGGAGTTTAAGGCTGCTGTGAGCTATGATCAAGCCACTGCCCTCCAGCCTGGGTGGCACACCGCATGACCCTGACTCTAAAGAAAATTGTGTTTACTGAATAAATGGAGGTGTGAGTCAAGTTCTTTACTGCTTTCCCAGTCTGACACACCCACTTCTGCCATGGGTTTGGTCCCTGGAGATGCTTAGGGCTGTGACTCTACTCCTCCCACCGAATTCTGTTTAGCTCACAGAGGCTTCCCTGGAGAGAAATTCACTGCAAGGATCCCACGAGACTGTGAAAGAGCTCACAACTGGAATGGGTAAACCTCCATTCCCTGATCTTTAAAATGGGGACATGACACCTGATCATATCTGAAGTCTATAATTCTTTGACATCACCCAGGTTAAAAAAGAGATCCTAGCCGGGCTCGGTTGCATCAGCCTACAATCCTGTGCCTTTGGGAGGCTGAGGTGAGTGGATTGCCTGAGCCCATGGGTTCGAGACCCGCCTGGGCAGCGAGACCCCATCTCTACAATAAATAAAAAAATCAGCTGGGCGTGATAGCGCATGCCTGTAATTCCGGCTACTTGG